GATAGGTTTTCTTAAAACACACAGGAGATCATGGCGGCTTACTATAACAAAAAAAGCTTTAAGAAAATTGAAAACTGCATTGGTGAGAAAAAGGCCAGAAAATTTGAACCAATGATTTTTTTCCCCCCAATTATGATAATGTGCCTCCTCATTTACCTAGGGAGGAAGTGCTCGCTTCTGAGATTTTTGTTGGGGAACCTTATTTCATCCAACTTTTAAGCCCTTTATCTTGCTTCTTAATACTTCATGTTTCCTGAACTGAAAGATATTTGAAAACAATCAAAAGATGAGTGTATAGAGGATGCCCAAGCCCCTGTTTGACGTGGTGGAAATAGAACAAATCTGAATTTTTGGTGAAGGGTTTGATTATTGGAAACAATAACTTCTAAAGTATATATGCATCTAGATAGAAGATATGTTGAAAGAAAATAGCATTATATTTTGATATTTTAGTTTAGTAAAGATTTCTATAATTGTATAGCAATACTCTGACTTTGTATATTGGATGATTTTCAAATAATTACCTTTTTAATGTTAAGAAAACTTAAGTTGGCAAATACTGCTTTGGATGGAAAAACAAGAAAACATATACAGTGTTAAATGATAATCTGATTTACTCTGACACTTCCAAGTCAACTTCATGAGCTAGAGGGAGTAGTATGAATTTTTGAAGAGTAAAGGACAGACTCACTTTCAAGTGAGTGGCAGGTGTTCTCTGTATATAAAACCTTGCTCATTAAGCTTGTAATAGTTACTCTACTAGTTTTGTGTTAATAATGGTATATAGACTAACACACTCAAAGTTTAACATCTAAAACAGTGAAGAAATATAAGTACAAAGAAACTTATCACACCACACACATAGTATACAAATATCAAGCAAAATGACAGTGACAAATCCATATATATCAATAATCTCATTGAACATTAATGGGCTAAATGCACCAGTAAAGAGGCAGAGAGTAACAAAGTGGATAAGAAAGCAAAACCCACAATATATATACTGCTTATAAGAAACATATCTCAGAAACAGACATAAACAGAGACTGGACAAAAGCATATGAAGCAAATAACAACTAAAAGGAAACAGGTGTAGCAATATTAATCATTGATAAGATAGACTTCAAGGCAAATAGTGTAATAAGAGACAAGAATGAATACTATGTAATGATTAAAGGAACAATAGCCCAAGAAGATATAACTAATAAACACATGCACCTGTGAGCTACCAGCCCCCACAATCGAATGGGTCCAAGGGGTGGCTGTGTAATTGAGGGGTAAAATTAAAGAGACACCACACAAGATAAAGCATGCAAATGCTCACCTCTGGGACCAACATGACTTCAGGAGTCATATCCATGCAAAGGAGAGAGAATATATTTCCAGTCAAGGCTTATAGATACTCAGGGGTTGTGCAAGCCCCTCTAATTACATGTAACCACATATGTAACAAAGTAGTCTATACCCTAACCCTAAAAGTCCCTGAGTATATTGGAGGAGTCACAACACCAGTGCCCAGGGTAGGTAAGGAGGAGTGGCTGTCCGCAGAGCCTCGAGAGCAGTAGCACGTGTCTGCTCCTCTAGATAAAGCTGCTGGCTACACAGCAATCAACCATGTGCTTGTACAAGGTAACTTTTTTTCCCTTTTAAATCATTTTATTGGGGGCTCGTACAACTCATCGCAATCCATTGTGAAGCACATTTGTACATTTGTTGCCATCATTCTCAAAACATTTGCTTTCTACTTGAGCCCTTGGTATCAGCTCCTCATTTTCCCCCTCCCTTCCCGCCCCCCCATGAACCCTTGATAATTTATAAATTATTA